TGTGGCTGAAGAAAGGTATCCAACATCTAATTAATAGCCATGAAATTCTGTTCGAGAAAACTTCGCCCATAAAAAGTTTACCTCAAGATGTTTCCATAATCACAATCTCCAACACTCCTATTAGGACCACCTCTAAAGGACCTTTAAGGTAGAAGTTGTGCCTTGGAACTATAGGACATAAGTGTATTATCATTGCGTCAAGCAAGAGCCATGGATTATTGAAAATGAAGAGCCTGAAGTTACAAACATTGCTGGAACTAGTAAGATCACTAGGACAAGAAGGGTCTTCTCTCCGAAGATCTCTCCTCCAACAACTACAACAACACATGTTCGAATTCCTGCTGCTAGACCAACTATTGACAATCGAGGTAAAGAGAAATTTACTGAGCCTGCCTTGACGGAGGCGCCCTCCGAGGAGGTTACAATTGAAGACCCATCTAGGAAAGAGATGGAATAAATTCTGAAAATCATCCGAAAAAGTGATTACAAGATAGTTGAGCAACTGGGGAAGACACCCTCAAAGATATCCATGATTTCCTTGTTGTTATGCTTCGAAGCACATGCCTAAGCCTTGTTAAAATTCTTGAAGAATGCCCATGTACCACAAGAGACCACTGCGGATCAATTTGAGAACTGTGTTGCAAGCCTAACTGCCAATGATGGCTTGGGATTTTCTGATGCAGATTTGACTCCGGCAGGGAAGAATCAAAATAAAGCTCTCTACATCTCTATTGAATGCAAAGGCACCACTCTGGCGCATGTGTTAGTAGATATTGGGTCCACTCTCAATGTCTTACCCAAAGGTGCTTTAGATAGGCTGGACTGTGAAGGGATAGTGCTAAAACCTAGCGATATTTTGGTAAGAGCCTTTGATGGTTCTAAGAAGATGGTCCACAGAGAGTTTGATCTCCCGATCAAGGTGGGATCTCAAGTCTTCATTTCAACATTTTATGTAGTGGATATTCGCCCGACATATTCATGCTTGCTCGGACGCCCATGGATTCACGGGGAAGGTGCAGTTACTTCTACATTACATCAAATGATGAAGTACCTGAAATAATCGGCCGAACTGTCATCTAATAATAAAATCAATGAAGTCGCCATCGAACGTCGTTTATCCCAATAGGAGGGGAAAGGTAGACATCGAGAAAACCTGAAGATGGAGAAATCAAGATCTTATGATCGAGAGATCGGGTAAGGGAGTCTGTTGCATGAGGCGAAGGTATTAGCACCCCACCCGCCCGTAGTACTCTATGGTATCCACTCTTGTTGTTCTAATCTAAGGGTGTGTAAGAATCACTATATAAGCTTAAGAGATAAAAGAAAATGCAATGAGGGAATGCATGCAAAAGAAAAGAGAAAATAATGTAGGAAAAATAAAGTATTTCTCGTTCGGGCCCTACCCCAATGCCTACGTATCCCTTTTAAGGAATCAGAGCAGCTGTAGTTCGGCTCATATATTTTGGTTGGTTTGTGTTTTTTAGTTAAGAAGACAAAAGCAACAGTCAAGATTGAAAAACATCAGATAAAATGACAAAACATCAACAACGATGATAAAGCAAGAAAAAAGGATGACAAGACATCACATGATGGTAACACAAACTCATATAAGATGATAAAACGTCAGCATGATAACAAAATATCAGACATGACGATAACAAATTACACCTAACAATGATATCGAAAATCAAAGTGGGATAACAAACATATGCGATGGTGAAACATCGGCAACAAACATATACGATTATGAAACATCGGCAAAAAGATAGCAAGATAACATGGCAAAGATGATGAGACATCAACAATTCAGATGATAAAACATCACACCTAACAATGATATTGAGAATCAAAGTAGGATAACAAACATGCACGATGGCGAAACATCAACAACAAACATATGCGATGACGAAACATCGACTAAAAGATAATAATATAACATGGTAAAGATGGCGAAAAATCAACAATTCAGATGATAAAACATAACACCTAACAATGATATTGAGAATCAAAGTAGGATAACAAACACACGCGATGGCGAAACATCGACAACAAACATATGCGATGGCGAAACATCCGCTAAAAGATAGCAAGATAACATGGCAAAGATGGCGAGATATCATAATTAAGATGATAAAACATCACACCTAACAATGATATTGAGAATCAAAGTTGGATAACAAACACATGCGATGACGAAACATGGAAAACAAACATATGCAATGGCGAAACATCAGCTAAAAGATAGCAAGGTAACATGGCAAAGATGGCGAGACGTCAAAAATTCAGATGATAAAACATCACACCTAACAATGATATTGAGAATCAATGTAGGAAAACAAACATGTACGATGGAGAAACATCAGTGAAAAGATAACAAAATATCATGGCAAGGATGGAAAAACATCAATTTAAAAATTAAAAAAAAAGTCAAAAGGCGCACAAACAATTAAGATTGGTTTTTATTTTTTACTTTGAAGAAGGATTTAAGTTTATTAGAGATGTTTTATAATTTGCTAAGAAGAAGTTTTAGTTTTAAGATGCAACATGCAGAGAGAGGAAAAATAACTAAGGGAGACTAGCCTAGCACTACCCCTAATGTTATCATACAATGATTGACCCTAAGGTTGAGGATGAAAGAGGGAAGTTTCTACCCTATGTTAGAATGCATGGATATCTATCTTAAGTCTAGCTCGAAAGCTACTCTAATTGAGTGATCCTTAGGGAAGCAGCAAAAATGTCACAGATCCTGTGGAAAGAAAAAACAAGCAAACAGATGGCAAAACATCTCGACAAACAAAAGCTCAAGCATCACTCGAATATCAAGCACCTACAAGGCGCAGGCCTAGTAGTAGAAAGGGAGGTCCCTCCATAGACAATCAACCAAGCATCAGACCAAGGGTCAAGCCATATCCAAGGGGAACGTATCACCCGAGTCAACAAGCTATAGAATTATAGGAATATAAAAGGGTCCTTAAGCGTTATATCAATTACCAGGGCAAGAAAGATCTGGGGGAAAGACATAGTGCATGCGTACACTAAGTATCAGTGTTGGTCAACACGAGCTAAAGAAAGCGTGGGGATCCAATTGCGGGAACCCTTTTCACTTGCCCTTAAAGGACTTAAATTCATTCAGATCTTGGGCACATGTTCTAAGCATCTACTTATAGAAAGTGATCATAGGAACGACATGGACTAGAATGTGCGGGGGTCAATTACGGACCCTTCCCCTCTCGCCTCCTTTTGAGGACTTATCACCTTTAATAATGCGGGCACAAATATAAACATACGTGCATAATACCTACTTCCAAGGTAGGATTTTAAACAAACACAATTAGCATACAGAAAACGGTGTCTGTTACAGGACTTTAAACAGTGACTTCGAGCACACGCTCTTTATTTCCTTCTTCCTACTTAACACGATTTCTATAAAGACATAAATGTTCCTACTATATATGATCTCTAGAAAGCGGTAAATGATGAAATGAGATAAACAAGGGCAAATACCGAACAAACAAAAGTTTGTAGCACAACATAGAAACCCGTAAAATTTTGAGTAAGCTTCAATAAGAAATATAAAAGAGTCAGAAATCAAATATTCGGAATAAGCGTTGAAGCATCATCGATGTGAAAATAAATCACAATTGAAATCTCGAGTGTATCCGCATATCACACGATAAACCAAATGGAGAAGGGTATGTTTCCTCTTCAACACGCGAAAAATAGCTCAAGAAATATGTGCGAGCTTCAAAAGTGATCCACCAAATTAATCCCCAGGCGCTTAAAGGTTGCGTCAACAAATCATCACAAAATCGATTCACCATGAAAATAGCAACAAAAATTAATCATGAAAGGTGAAGAAAAATAAGGATAAACTCAATTAAATCCTAAAAGCGAAATTCTAAAAATTAATTGATAAAATCCTACTATTTTTGTATTTTTTTCACCATTTAATCAAGAAAAGAAATTGAGACTAAAATAAATAAAGTTTAAAATACAAGATAAATTGAAGGAGGTGCATTGTTGAATCCAGAAAGTGTGGTCCAAGCAAAAGATAAGCGCTAAGTCCAGGAAGTAAATGTCATTAAGACCAATCCAAAATTTTTTAAGAGCATGTCCTTGTTATAAGCAAAGACCTACAAAAAAATGCCATGGGCCTATGGGAGTATACTATTACGGTCCAGGTACAACAAGTCCACTCATCATTATTGCTATTAAAATAAAGTTAAAGAAAATAGATGGAATATATTGCAAGAAAACAAAATGTTGCATTGTGAAGGGAGATAAGGTTAAGACGATTTAACCTTAACGACCAGAGTCCTTCTCTTCTTCACGAAAGAATCGCGCCGTTTCCAACGATCCATACATAGCACCACCGTGATTCGTGTTCCAGCCAACATCATCAACACTTCGACTTCAACACCTCTGTCTGATTTCAAAGCAGCACCTCCATCTCAGCTTGTTACGATTAGTTCGTGTTTCAGTCGCCGCTTCCGCTCATCTTCATCTCCGCTACTTCTTTCTAATTCCATTACAAGAACATTCCATCACAAGAACATAGTTCCTCTTTGTCGCTCATGCTTTTAGCATCATCTATATGTTCTTGATTTTTTGTTTCAGTTTGAAACTCAGATGTGTACGCTGCAGTTGTAGATTTAACATTGATGCTATTATTACATGAAGCCGAGAGGGAGATGAAATTTATAATTATTGAGGATAATACAGAGCAATTGCAGAAGTTATTAAAGAAAATGATGATGAAGTTGTGTTGAGGAGTTTGAAGATGATTCAAGGCTTCATGAGGATGATGATGTTTGGTGAAAGAAACTGAGAAATAAACTCAGAGATTTGACAGGTGAGCTTTTCGATTTCTTTTGTGGCTTTTGGTGAGTTTTCTAGTATGAATCCTTGTGTAGAATAGAGAGAGAGTTTTGAAGTTTTCTTCTCTTTTTCTCTGAGAGTTTTTCTGTGTATTTTTGTGATTCTGCTGAGGAGAATGAAGAATGATGATGAATGGTGCCGAGAAAGTTAAGAGAGTTTTTCTGATTTGTGATGGTGATTCTTCCACACGATTGAAGAATGAAGAACGATGCAAAGTGATTGCCCTTTTTATATTTCTGTTATCAGTAGAAGTTAGTTACAACTTGATTCCATCTTGGCTGTTGATTTTGATTTTCGGTTAGAGAAATTGAATGGTCAGGATTGAGTTTGTGAAACTTGCTTGAGAAGCCTTGGATAATTTGCTGAGCTGTTAAGTTTCACGATATTTTCTGATTTAATCACATTTTGCAAATTCCTCCTCACGTCTAATTTTCTTTCTATTTTTATTTTCTAATTTAAATATGCAGGATGTCAGTTTGTGTTAGGGACGCTTTACAAGATATATAGCCAAGTTATGCTACATACAGATTGAATGTCGGACCCTTGCTAAGACTGGCTTGCATCTCTCTTTTTGGTTCAGCTTCAGGTTTTACTAATATGCTTGTTCAGAACATACCTGATGATGAGGAGGACATGACTGTAACGATGTTGTGAGTTTATCAAGCTCGCGACAGGATACCAATAGCTGAGGCTCTTCCCGATAATATAATTCTGATTCAGACTTTTTCGAATGCCTCTTTTCCTCTTCTCTTTCTATGTATTCTGAATGGATTTTGAGTGAGGGAAAATGTTGATGCTTTAGGTTTTTAGCTTGCTTGATATCTTGCTGAACAATGATGATGGATTTTTCTAAGTTTGTAATTCTGATTTAGGTCTCCTTGATTTTGACTTTCTGCTGAACACCAATTGCTGAGTTGTGAAATTCTTCTGATATCTTACTGCAATTTTGTTATCTTGGGCCTGAGATGCGATTTTGGCTTTTTGATTGTTGGGCTTAGCAATTGTGATCTCAGATTTTCTAGTTGAGATATAAACTTTGCTGTTGTCTTTTGCTGTGTTTTAACTTCCTTTTGTGAACCAAAAAAACTTTTGGTGGTTTGCAATTGGTAAAGTAGGCCTATGATTGAATTGAAATATGATTTGTGTGAAACAAAATTGTTTATGAGGCTTTGGATTTGGCTTAACACCTGATTGAAAACCAAACCTAAATTCTGATTCCTTTACAAAACCATAATGATGAATCTTGGAGAGGAAATTCTTCTTGGAAAATTCTTTGTTTGAGTTTTAATGTTTGATTGCTTTCTAACCAATTTCTTTTATTTTTGTTTTATGAACACAACAATGGTGAAAGCATGAAGAATGAAGATGTAAAGTGGACCGAAATGAGCATGGAGAAGATGCTTGAAGAAGAAGTCAACCCAAGAACTTAGACTTAGGAAACTCTTGATTTGTCTTTGTATTCAAATTGGAATTTGCCTCAATGTAAATTTTGTAAGCTTAGCAAATTTAGGATAGAATTTATAAGACTTGGAACTTGAACTTGAACAAACTTCCATTTATTGTGAAGTTGAAACTTTGGTGTCTTTTCTTAGGAATTTGAAAATTCTTGTAAATCTTGAGAATTTTGAGAAATTTGAATATTTTTTAATGAGCAATGGTATAGGAACTTTGGTCAACAATGAATGAAATTTGTATAAAGTTAGACTTGTAGAAATGGGTACCAAAAATGAATGAGTAGAAATTATGTTCCAACAATAGCCAATTCTCATTAGCTTTCTCCATCTCACCTTGTTTTCCTTTGAAGTGGATGACGACAATATGACATTAATCTCAAGGAAATGGCCATGAATGAAACTTAACCAAACATTTCAAAAAAAGATTCTCTTCCTGTAAAAAAATCACTCAAAACCCTAAATGATGAATCAACCTTCAAAAGCTCATAAGAACTAAATTAAACCTTAAAGTTGCCTTAAATGATGATAATTGCGGGATCATGACCTGAGCTCATCTGATGATACTAACCAGATAAAATATCTTCTCAGTTAATGATTCAACGTGCCCTGCAATAAAGCTCAGGATTATAATGTTTCAAAGATTTTTGTCAAGAAAAATGTCACAGATTCAATAATCAAAACCCCGACGCAAAAGCCAATGGATAGGAGGAAACAATGATCATCTTCAATATACTTTCCCATTCAAACTTCTGATGAATTAAGGAAACATTCAAGATATCCTGAAGTATGGGAACCACATGTAGCTTGAGTGACCCAAAAATTGAGGGTCTGAGACTCATCTCTTCAATGATTGATGAAACAACCAACTTCACAAATTTTAGAAAATCATGAAAACCAAAAGGTACCTTGATCTTGTCTTTAAAATGCATGACTGCGTATGACGAAACATAAGACACAAAAGTAAGATAAAGAGGGCAAATTTTAGGGGGCAACAGCTGCCCCTATTCAATCATCTTAAACCTGATAAGTGAGAAAAAGCGACAACTTTCAAACATTCAGGTGGAAGAGGATTGAATACTCAAAGAACCCGAAAATTTGTGCTCTGAATCAAATAGAAGTACAGAAACACAGGTGTGATACAGTGGCAGAACCGACTGTTTATACTGGTTTTGAGTTTGTGTTTGCAAATGTTACGGTAAGCAAGAGTCACCACCAACTTTTCTTTTATCCAAATTAAGGAAAGGGTGAAAAGAACAGAAAAAGACCTTTTCGATAATTTTCTGAGTAAAGGGGGTAGATTATAGAAAGGGAAGGTGTTAGCACCCTTTCCATCTGTAGTTTTCTACAGGCTCTTAGATGATTATCTCATTTTTTAAATACCTCGTGCTTTGTGTTTTGAAAAAGTAGTTTGAAAATTCCTTAGTGCGGCGATTCGCTTTATGATAACTCTTGTATCAATCCTCAAGAGTGTTAATAAAGCGTTTTTTGAAAGAATTTTGTGTAAGTGCAAAAATTTGGTTTTTGAGCAAGCATTTATGAACTATCTACTTATACTCGAAAAGGTTTGTTCTTTTCCTCCTATCTTTTAGATAGTGCTATCCTACTATTAGTGAGTAGGTAGCCCTATCGTTGGATGTTTGAGGGACATTCGAAGGGACAATTTTTATAGTCACAAAGGCAACTGGGCAAGAAGATTTAGTAACTACCCTAGGGTTCTAAGATCATATTTTTACCGAGACAACGTCGATAGGGTCATTGAGGGACTTATGATCATTTTGAACCAGAGGGTAGCCACTAAAGCCTCTCACATTTCAAGAGTTGTGACTATTTTCTGAAGGCAACCGGAGTGGGTATACCCTAGAGGTGTATATGTGCAAGTGATCCAATTCGATTCATTTATCTTTGTTATTAGGTTTGCTAGCACTTTATTTTCCGTCTTTCCATACAAGCCTAGTTACTAACAGTTAATATTTTGCAGAAATTTAAAATGTGGGAATCTTAAATCCTACGCTATTACAGTGCTTCAGGGAGGGAGTATTTACATGTCCAAAAATGGTAAAACAAATAAAGAAAGCGATAAAGTAAATGCCCTAGTTTAAGCTATTACATATTGTCAGCAGATACATTAGTATACAAAATGCGAAAATAAATAACGTGTGCGAAATGGATAGAGTCGTCTAAAACCCTAAATAAACTAAATAAAAGAAAATCTTTTTTTTTTAAATTTTTTTATTTTAAGAAAATACTTAAAATTAAAATGAGGAAGACTAAATTTAATCCTAATTAATAAAATAAATACAAGAAAACTAATTCTAATATTTTTTTTGTATTTTTGTTAAGAAAATATTTGAATTAAAAACCTATGTCTAATTGATTTTTAAATAAATTAAAACAAGTCAAACTAATTAAGTAAATTTAATTATTAAATTAAAATTAATTTTAGGAAAATCCTATGTCTAATTATTATTTATGATTTTTTTGATTTTTATATTATTCTAAAAAAAAGATTAAAAGAGAGTAACCAATAAAACAAATAATAAAAGAAAACAATTGGGCCAGATGTTATAAGCAAATGGGGGGTGCGTGGACTAAAATTGCTAGGCCCAGAAGATGACAAGCCCATGCCACGTTGGATCCTGTACTACTGACCCATGAGGGTGCATGATGGGCTAGTACCCCAGGGGCGTTGGATCTTTAGCTTGTTGATGTTTGTTAGCCTAGATGTGGAGACCTATGAAGCGTGCGTGAATCTGTTCAACACTGGATCTGAAAGGAAAATATGAGAAAAATGCAAAATTTGGGGATCAAACCTAGGTTTATAAGCTTCATATACGCACACTTTACCACTAGGCCAAGTCTTTTCATTCGTTAGTACAAGGTAATAATAGTATTATATACGAAATCAATTATTATTTTCATTTTCTGAAATGCGTGTCCAATCAGATTTGAATGTACCAATCGTGATACAATAAAGTGCCACGCATGCCCCTTGCCGGAGTCAGCTTATTTCAAGGACGCCAGAGTCAAACTTCAGTCATCCTCTCCGACCAAACAAAATGTGAACCTACAAAAGAGAGTGATTTGTGGCAAAGGCTTTAGGATACCCCCCTAAATTGGAGTATGTGAATTAAATGGTGGTGGCCGTTTGGCTTGAATGTATCTGTACTCAGAGACACGAAGCACACAACTCCTTATGCCCTAACAATGGTGCAATCTAATTCCTGCATAAAATCTCCCATGTAACATGTTGATCGTACTCAAATAATGTATATTAATTGATTCAAGAGGTTAGTATCCATTGAAACTATATAGAATGAAAGATCTGATTCTTACCAAAACCTACCAACCAACGATTCTACATGGGATGTTCTGGGGAATTTGAGAGCAAGCTAGGAGTATGGATGGCTCCCTGGGACCTTCAGGAAGACAATATGAGGATTGGTTTGGTCTGGGAGCAACTGGATCGTATGTTGTGAGTTTTGATAACTTTTGGATTTTTTGTGAAATTTGTATGGCATGCTTCTGTGATTTATGCGTGAGTAATCTTAGCAAGAATGATCCTTATATAGAGGAGATGGAGGGAGCAAGGTTAAATGGAAAGAATCAAGCCCATAAAGGCCATGATAAAGCCATGATCTTTATTTGAAAAAATGACTAAAATGGAGATTTCATGCCATTTTCAAAGTTGGATGAACCTGGTCACTTCTTGCACGAATTCATGGGCCTCTAGGCAAGACAAAACATCAGCCCAAATGCCAAAGCCCATCTCTATTTATTTTGTACACTTTATTTTATATTTATTTGAAATGAATTAAAATAAATATGAACAAAATAGATAAAAATGGTAAGGCAATGTAAAAATGAGATTAGAGGTCCCCTATAAGGTTATGAAGATGTTTTAAGTCCAAGAAATTAAGCCATTGACCTAAAAGTTTATGTTTGCTCAATGCACAATTCTTGAAATTTCCAAAATTTCCCCAACTTGAGCAAGCCATAACTTGATCAATTTTTATCCCATGATGATGATCTTGGACTTTTTGGAAATCCCAACATGTCTACTTCAATCCATCTTTTGATCAATTTTGCATTTGAAGAATTTATCTTGATGTAAATGGTCTTGACAAAAAGTGTTTTTTGTTGACTTTCTGAAAATGACCTGTAATGTATGAGCTTGTATCTTTCAAATGGTGCATCTCTTGAACTTGATTAAAAAAGAGAAGTTGTAGGGAATTAGATTGTCTTCAAAATGAGATTTGGTTGGGGAAAAATGGACGATGTATGTGAAAGTTATGCCTCGTCAAAGTTTAGTTGACTTTTCCTATATAAACCATAATTTAGCAATTATCGACTTTTGATAGATTAGGAGCATTTCTTGAGGAATCATGATCAAACCTTGATAAAATGATGAATATAACTTCAAAATGTTGATGTTGACCAAAAATCATGAAGTTTGACTGTATGTGGGCCACAATTGACTTTTGACCTAGTACAGTTGATTTTCAAACATTTGAGCAATTGACTGAGCAAACTTGTAGTGTAAGGCATGAAATTTGTCATGGAAAATCTTGAAGGCATATTAGGACAATGGGAAAAATTTGAGACCTTTGGAGCTCACACATATTTATGAAAAATGAAATCCTAATTAGAGGTTTATTTTTTAGGAGGAGAATTTGTCTGGTCAATTCTTGGTCAACCTTGAGCAATTGAGGACCTCTAGGAGCATGTCTTGAGTAAAGTGGGAGGGAAAATTTTGGGGTACAACATCTGCCCCTGTTCAATATTCTTAAACCTGAGGATTTAGATTGGCATGTCTGCCTTTCGTGATCTGAAGGTGGAAGATGATTGAACACTAGAGTGCCTAGACATTTTCACTCGCATGAAGTAACACTGATGGTTGATGATGTTGGGAATGGGATTGCAGATTCCATTTAGAGGAGATGACTGAGAGTCATCGGATATGGGCTTAAATATTCCAT